CTCCTCTCCTCTCCCCCTCCCTCTCCCTCTCCTCTTTCCCTCCCTCTTTTCACCACCACCCCATTCACTATTGCAACCCTGTCTATCATGTACCAGATAGGGTCACCGAGTTACCTGAAAGGCTCCTGCCACCGTGAATGGAGAGACTCTGAATGTCTCCAGAAACCTTCCTATGGGCTGTCCCTCGGTTCTCTCCCCGGGTTCGGAAAGCCAAGCCTGGTTTCCCCCACCGACGCTGCACACAGGAGGTGGGGCAGGGGAGCAGGGAGGTGGGAGAGGAGAGGAGAGTCTTTCCCAGCCTCGCGCTTGGCGGCGGCGTGCAGGTCGCCGGAGCTCTGGAAGCGGAGCCTGGGCGCAGCAGCAGAGTGGGCGCACAGCGCTGCCGCCGGCGGGGAGGGAGGACTCTGTCCCGGCAGGAGGAAAGCGCGCGAGCCTGGCCGCCTTACATCACTTGCACCGCTCTGGGAACAGAGATGGACGCGCGGGGGCGCGAGGGGGTCAGAGCCGGGTGGCCGCAACAAGCGGGCTGCGGGGGCTCCGGTCCCGGTACAAGGGGCGGGCGGGTGGCTTGGACCCGCGTCCGTGCCGCTGCCCTAAGCGGGAGCCCAGATCGTCTTACCCACAGGGCGGGCAGGCAGCCGGTGAAAAGTCGGAGTCTGGGTTCCAAATTCAGGGTCTGAGGGCTTCTGGGACCAGCGGGAGATGATAATGGGGACTTGCTCTCTTGGCCAGTTCCAGATCTGAGCGATACCTCTACCCCGACTGTAGCCAGGTGCTCTGGGGCTGCCCCTGCCTCTCTCCTGGCAGCTCCTCGAGGTGCCCTCGAAGGAGCAGGTTGTAGGCTGCTCCCGCCTGACCTGAGTGCCCCTGGAGCGCCCAGGCTGTAGGAGCACTAAAGCCTCGCGGTCTTGCCTGCTGCTAGGAGTCTCCAGAGTCTCCTCCGCCGGTCTCCCAGCTCTGCACTTGGCAGGAGATGGCCTTGGAAACTCAGACCCACGGTCGTGGTTCCAAGTGGGAGAAGGAAGAAGGGCTCCCGGTTCTGATCCTCGTTCAGGGTCGTCCAGGTAGCCAGCCCCAGAGGCCTTGGTTTGGAGGGTCAGGCCCACTTGGTGATGCTGCTCTGCACCGGTTTACTCTTTCCTGTCTTGCTGGTCTCAGTCCAGGGTCCACCGCAGTGTGTAGGTTTCTCTGGCCTCAAGGGAAGACTGGGTGTGGCTGTGATTCTTCACCACATCTGGCTAAGGCAGAGGAGGAGAATTAGGAAGGCCAAAAGTACGTTCTTTCATGCTGGGGCTCTGATTTGGGGGAAAGAATTTTGATACCCAGGCGTTCTCCACCTAAGCTGGCCGTGTGTACCAGAGTGAGTGACATCACCTTGCTGCAAAATAATCGTCAGGAGACTTTTAACACTAGATGTCTGAACAAACGCTGTGAATATTACATAAATGTAAAGTTTATGACTTTGGTGTATGGTTCGTGTTCAAAATACATTGAGAGGCATACTCTTTCTTCTCAGACACGATCATCATGGTGCTCTCAACACGTAAGGCAGGCGCCGAATCATCAAAGGCCTGTCTGTGTAACTGAGGACGTTCGGCTTTACCCACTGAGTGGTGAAGAACAATGGGAGGGTTTTAGGCAGAGATTAATACAAGTGTTCAAGGTTTTGACAGATGGTGCGGGCAGGGTTAGAGGGTGTAAGTCTGCAGGCCTGGAGACTTGTTCATGACGCCAGGCAAGATGGGATGTGGCCAGAAGAATCCCAAGCCTGGAGAGGTGCTTAGAAGAAGGAGGGTCTCACGGACGAGGACGAATGGGTTGGAGCACCCTGGCTCGAGGCAGAGAGAAGAACCAAGGTGGAGCCCTTGGTTTTTTCTCTTCAACCAGGGTCCCCAGAAGCCGGGCTTCTTCTCACTTTTACTCTGGTGTTTATCGTGTGTGTCTTTTGTATTCAAGCTTATTAAATTCCTGCTGCACTTCTGGGTGCAGAACCACTTAAGAAGGAAGAAAGGAGAAAAGGCAGAGGTCTAAAGTGAGGCGCCAGCTGTGTGGCCATTTGGACCAGGAGGGTGGTAGCTTTTCTATCATCTCCAAGTGCACAGACATCTGGGCAGATGTGTCTGGGCTGCAGAGGAGCTGCAGAGGAGAGGCTGGGGATCCACATCTGTTAGTCTTTCCCAGACTCACTGCTGCTCTGGAGGTCGGTTTTGTTCAGGAAATGGGGAAAACAAATTAGTTACCTGTGCTCCAGTCACTGAACACTCTTCTCCCCCTGAACCCCCTTTCTCTTCCTTTATTGATACCCACTGGCCTTCCTTGTCCCTCACTTGAAGGCTACTTCCTGGATTCCTCTTTGTTTTGTAGGTGGCCTCTTGTTCTGCTGTTGGTACTCCCTCTCTGAGCTTCCTGCCTTACCCTCCTCCTCCCAGGGCAGTTTCAAGCAGCCCGGAAAGCCTGGGGCCCCTAAGCCTCTCTCTCTTGTCCTGTTCCCTCAGCTTCTGGTTTACAGGATTCAATTGTCCGCTTGATATTGCCCTTTGGATCGCCTATGGACACTTCATGTTCAAAAGTCACAGCGTGAACTCACCTGTCCTCCAAGCTTCTCTTTCTCGGTGAGCTCCATTTATCCCACACACCAACATTTTTGGGACCCTGAAGTTAGTTTTCTTTACTCGGAAGGAGTTTTATCTCCTAAGTCCTTTTGTTATCTCCCTGTCGGCTCGTGACCCTAGTAAAGCCACTCTACCTTCCCAGGTTTCCACCTCCTTTAAAGTTGTCTCTATTATTATTTTTTAATTAATTAATTTTAAAAATTACACTCATGATATTAATCACATTTGTGGTATTCATAGATTACATTCGCAGTATTCATTCAATTTTATATATATATATATATATATGTAATTTTAAATGTCGAATGTCATTTCTTGAAGTGGGTAGGAGGTCTTAAATACAGGCTTACAGCACAATGGGAGGACCCCAGAGGGCAAAAGTTTGCTACTGATGTTTTACAATCTAGCATCTAAGCTGTTAACGCCCATTATTCAGGATACACAGACAAGGAACTTCCCTTAAGCATTCAGGAGGGTGGAACCTGGCAGGGAATTAGCATTGGGAGGATATCAAGGTCAAGGTCTGCAAGCAAGGCAACAGTTACCCAAAACGGGGGCCAGGGCCCTGCAGGTCCCCCTTTTATTAAAGAATGAGCTTCTGACTTGGGTTGCGTGGGACGTCAGCAGGTCACCTTACCCGTCATGGAGATGTCTGCCCAGGCCATACAGGTGCTCTGTCTTAGGTTGGTGAGTGCCCCCCAGGCATTACCCATCTCTGAATACTCATTATCATACCAGCTCAATTGTGTGTGAGCTGCATGGTTAATTGCTGCCAAAGATCTCAAAGTGGCACTGGGCTTGCAATCTGTGTGTTCGATACAGAAAAGACCAACAGAGGTCCTACCTCACCCATAGCCAGTAGGCTAAAGGCAACTGAACCATTCTCTTCCTTATCGAGCCATACTGTACGCTGGAGTCCTTGTAAGATAGTATCCCAAAAGCAACTGGAACTTGAGTTTATTCTATTATTTTGTTTTTATCAGCACATATTAATTATACATAATATTGGGCTTCATTATGACATTTTCACACATGCATGTGGTATGTTTTGAACACATTAAACCCCCATTAGTCTTTCTTAGCTCTCTCTTCCTCTGATTCCCTTCTTCTTCACAAATTTTCTCCTTTTACTTTGAGAAAGAAACAGTCATCCCACTGTTGTAGCAGTGGGCACATGTCAAACAAAAAGATAAAGTGTGATCAAAGTACATTAGCTTTTAAAACAAACAAACACATCACAGGGCTGAGAGGTGGCTCAGCAGTTAAAAGCTCTGGCTGCTCTTGCAGAGGACCTGGGTTCAATGTCCAGCACCTACATGGTGGCTCACAACTATCTTTAACTCCAGTTCCAGAGGACCCAAATGCCTTCTTTCAGCTCTGTGGGCAGCAGACATGCAGCCCAACACTGATACACATACAAAGATCATCACAGCAGTTAGGATTTACTCCTTGTTGGGATGCTTTGAGTTCTTCCTTTCCTCCGATGTTTGTGTAGCAGACTATGCTAACTGGGGAGGTACACTTTTGCAATCCCAGTTTGAACCTATAGAACCAGACTTAGGGTGTGTTTTGCCCCCATGGAGTTTAGACCAGTTGCTGTCTACAGTGAGTTTCTGGTCCTCCTGTCTTGATCTGAGGTGTATTGTCTTCAATGTCTTTCTTGATGCTCTCTGGCTTGGGATGGCTCTGTGCTATGTATAGGAGGGGTGATCGGGGCTTCGTAGCACCTTTGGTGTTCCAACTTGATGATGTCTCCAGAAAGTGGGGGGTTAAAGTCTTTGTCTAGTGACTTCCATGGACCCCAGCCTGTTCCTGCATTCTGCTTAAATTTCTGCTCCAATGTGTGTGGGGAGAAGGACTTCTGGGGTTGCTTCTCCTGTGCTTGTTGGTACAACTTTGTTCAGCTGGGTGCTGATTACTGGAAAAGTGTAGTGGCTCCCACCTGTATCCCTTCAAAGAGCCCACTTTAAATAAACGTGTTTACAGGGCTGAGGAGATGGTTCTGTTGGCAAAGTGCCTGCTTTACAAACATGGCGTCCTCAGTTTAGATGCCTAACACCTACTTAAAAGCTCTGTGTGGTAGCATGTAGCATGCCCTAAACACCAGTACTAGGGGTGGAGACAAGGATGCTTGGAGCCCATTGGATAGCTGGCTTAGCTGAATGAATGAGCACCAGGCTTAGTGAGAAACCCTGTCTCAAATCATAAGATGGAGCAGAATAGAGAAAACACCCAACTTCAGTCTCCGGCCTTCACACCCAGGTGGCATGCACATGTGCATACTGCACATGAACATGTACATATGTTACACAGACATAGATACACAGACACACAGACACAGTGTTCTAGTTATATTTTTGTCATCTTGACACAAACTAGAGTCATCTGGGGAGAGAAAATCTCAATGAAAGGGTCCTCCTCAGATTGCTGACAGTAAAGTCTATTGGGATATCTCCTTGATTAGTGGTTGATGTGGGAGGTTCCAGCCCACTGTGGGTGGTGTCACCTCCGGCAGGTGGTCCTGGGTTGAATAAGAAAGAAGCTGAAGTTATCCATGGAAAGTAAGCTAAAAATAGCTTTCCTCTATGGTTTCTGCTTCATTTCCTGCCTCCCGGTTCCTGTCTTGAGTTCCTGCCCTGACTTCCCTCAGGATGGACTGTAACTTGTGAAGCGAAATAAACAGTTTCCTCCTCCAGTTGCTTTTGGTCAGAATGTTTTATCCCAGAGCAGAAAAGAAAGCTAGAATTCACAGGTTCTCAGACAACAGAAAAGCACACCAGAACACACAGATGCCCAGACACAGCTCATTTATAAATCTTTTCTCTTGCAAGAAAGGCAATGGTTGTGTGTTATCTTGACTGTTTTCTTTCACCGAGTTTCACTGGTGAGGCTTCTAATCTGCCACCTGACCCAGATGGGCAAAATCTTTGGATAAGGACTTAGCTGAACCCCATTTCAGCTCTAATCTTCCTCAGTTCTGTGACAGCCACTTCTGAGGGGGCAGAGCTAATGTCAATTTCAGGCAGATGTGCCAACCATAGTGCTGGGAACCCAACTGGGTTCTCATAAAAGCAAGGGTGTCAGGCAAATGCCTCCTCTTCTTTGTAGAAACAGTGAATTCCAGTCTGCCTTTTAAGCCATGTAGTTCATCTCCTTGGGCACTAGGTAAGACCCGAGCATAAAACCACAGGAAACTTCAATTACTGCTTAATTATAAGGTTCATTCTGAAAGCAATTCTTTCTTGGAAGTAACTTGAGATGGTCTCTGAACAGCAGGTGTTCTTGCCCACATCAGCACCAATAGTGGGTGGAGATGGAAGCCATCACTCAGAGACAGATAAGGCATCTTAATATTTAATTCCTTGCCCATTGGACCAATAGCACCAGGATTTTAAAACTTTAAGTGGTTCTTGCAATCCTGTGAAGGTGTATAATCATGAACAAAAGCATCTCTTATAAGAGAGAAAATTCAGAGAAAAAAACAAGGCTTTGGCAAGTGGGTGTTTGGGGAGGGAACAAGAAACCCTTTGTTTCTGGAACCCTGACATGCTAGAATTTGTTGACTACCCTGACTCTCTATTATAGAGATAAAACTCAGAGTGTTTTCCTCATTTATCAGCACTCGAGTGTTTATTATGCACGTGGCACTGTGCCAGGGACTGGGAAGACAGGTGGGACAAGATACAGCCTGCCTCTATAGAACTATGGAGAGTA